GAGCAGACTATAGCGTGGTACAAGGTAGTAGTGGACACGATAATTACCAGGGCGTAATGAGCGGCCTTTGGTTCACGGCAGACAAGTACTGGTAGACCGAGAAATACTTCCTTGATAGGGCTCACATGTTCATGCGTTTCGACCCAAATTATTTTTTATTTGTAGCCCAGCTGACCTAAGTTAGGTCTGGTTACCTTACACATTATGAAATTATAAGTCAACGCTCAGTGGGTGACCTCAACGAGGAAATATTCTATAGTATTACCAGCAACGGGCATATATACTGCACTGTGACATTGGATGTAATAAAAGATTTTATGAAGTTTTTCTTATGAAAAAAATGAGCAATTAATGTGGATGATCGTGACAGTATCGGGTGTATTAAACTGCTCTTTATTCCGCCTGGTAGTCCCCGTGAGAGTGAGCTGTATTTCACAAAATATTTTTCACACGGGGTTGTGAGCACGTAGGGGAGGGGTTGTGAGCACGTAGGGGTGGGGTTGTGAGCACGTAGGGAGGGGTTGTGCGCGCGTAGGGGAGGGGTTGTTGTAGTGACCCCATGATTTAGTAACACTGAAAACATAGATGGTCCATTCAATGCCTCTTGAGAAAGTGGCTATCTTAGTTGTTGTGAACGTCAGCTAGTTTTGGTGCACGAGAGGGAGGTGGTGGTGACGCACGTGAAAGTTATGGGTGCACGTGAGGGATGCACTTGTGGGATGGTGGTGCACAAGAAGAGTGTGTAACTACCGTAAATTCACAACATAACTCACTCTGGTAGAAAATCGTGACGAGCCCCTTATTAGAAACCTCTGGTGGGATAATCCGAGTCATAGTGAATGCAATGATTGGCGCTGATTTTCAGTATCAATCAAAGGCTCCCATAAAGAATTGGAACCCCCTTGCTTATTTCACCTGTTGATTAAATGCCCTAGTGCAAACCTAACCTAACCTAACCAAACCTAACCTAACCTAACCAAACCTAACCTAACCAAACCTAACCTAACCAAACCTAACCAAACCAAACCTAACCTAATCTTATCTAGTTATGATACAGTCCCAGTAAATTTTTCCCTCCAATTTGGTTGACAAATTTCTACAGCAGCTTTAGCGTAAGTTCTTATTTATGCACTAGATAAATAATTATGTAGAAGCCATTGAGAATCGGTCATTATGGTGAGCGTTAGGGTGACAGCAGCCAGCAGGTGACCTCAGTTTATTTCACCTGTTATTGATCACCCTAACACTACCTGGGGGTGTTACATTAGGTTATTATACGTCAGGTTAGGTTAGTTTAGGCTCTGGTATGTTAGGTTCGGTTAGAATAAGGTGTACTAAGGTAGGTTTAGTTTAAATTAGGTTATATTAGCATTAAGGGGGGGTCTAATCTTCAGGTGATGCTCAGACAGTACCAACTCCCCCAGTGTGTGTGGGGTTACCTGAGTGTCACTTGCCAGATAAGAACAGTTAAAACTGGTTTAGACAGTTGAGAGCCCGAGGCATAACGAGTAGACACTGTGACCGCTTCTTCCTCCTGGATGACGGTAACAGTTTCCCACGGTAGTGAAGGTGGAGGGGGCAGTCAGACATCACATGAAGATTAGGCACCCCAGCTTATCCTATCAGATGATTGAACACCCTAATACTAACCTAACCAAACATAACCTTGGTTTTAAATGAACGTATTTAGTTAAGGTAAAGTCTCAGTTTAATGTTGATAATTTGTTATTTAGTCAAGCAGTTATATTTTTGTTTACCTCTTCACTAAGGAGGAATCGTTATGAACCTTTGAATACGTGGACCTACATCGATAAATCTCTATTATATAATCGTACATTTATTGTAATATTTGGTAAAGTATAGTATAAATCAATAGTCTCTCGTAGGTGTAAGGTATATTAGTAGGATACATATTTTAGAAGAGTAATCGCTGGCCTTGTGATGTTGTTAGTGCGCTATAACAACTATTTCAGTACATTGCATCATTCAGTTATGTTACGCCAAAATATATTTAATTTGTAGATATATTTCCGGTGAATAACAATGTTTATAACTCATAAGATAGATATAGAACCTTGATACATGGGTGGTGTTGCGTTAGTATTTATCAAAGAAAACGGGACAATTAAACATAATACCGGAAACGTTTTAAATTTATTTACCCGTAACACTGTATTTTATTCTTTTTATTCAAGTTACTTTTTAGAAGGGCTTCTTAAATTTGGAACTTGATCTAAAGTTACCAGAGAAAACATGGCAGATGCTTATTTGGAGAATTTATTGACCTGGTGGAATTTTTTTTTTTGGGGTTGGTCGGAGTGGAAAGCAGAGTATGGGGTGGATTAGTTAAGACAGCCCGAAGACTTGGAGTGGAGGGCCGTGGTCGCCAACCCTCAGACATGTAAATGGGGGAGGGGGTTATGGTAGGGAAATGTTTTTGGGGATTTTCTTTTTTTTTGCGTTAGGGAGAGGGAAGGGATGGGGGACTAGGAAGGGGAGGGGGAGTATACAGCAGATGTGAGAGGGTGAGTAACTGTGCTGGCTTCACCTAGATTGTAAAAGGTGTGTGTGTGTGTGTGTGTGTGTGAAAGAGAGAGTTACTATCTTTACACAGACCATAAACTTCACACTCAATAACTCACTCACTCACTCACAAGCTAACTGAAGATGTGCTTTGAACCACCAAATTTTAGAATGATGATAGAATGTTATGTGGGTGACGAGAACCATCTGTTGCCGTCACCAGCTGTCTGTCTGTCTCTCTTACTGCGGTGTTACGGTACAGTTAGGTTAGGCAGTAATTAGCCAAGAGCTTCACCTTGGCCTAACCTCCACCAAGTTTCCGGGTCAAGCTCTGGAGGCGCCGCATCACGTTAACTCCGGGTCACGTACTGGCGCTGTCAACAATTTCCCCTACCCCTCCCTCCCCTCCTCCTGGTTTCTGGGGTAACATTGTTCATTTTTGTCTTAATTTTGCGGAAATAGTCGTATATATTATAGAAAAAAAACGCTTTGAGACGGAGAGTAGTGGAGGAGGATGGTGGTGGGGGAGGAGGAGAGTGGTGGTGCTGATGGAGAGTGAGGGTGCTGATGGTGAGTGGTGGTGCTGATGGAGAGTGAGGGTGCTGATGGAGAGTGAGGGTGCTGATGGAGAGTGGTGGAGGGTGGTGGTGGTGGAGGGTGAGATGATGGAGGTAGATGAACCAGCAGTAAGGGTTTAACACACAGTCACTGTTGTTGATAATGACTCGTTCAGTTAGACTGGTGTGGTGACAGAAGGTAGTCCGCTGACAGATGGTAACTGTACCCCCCCCCCCACCACCTGTTACTCCCACTTACTGTATCCACACACATGTACACACAGTCATCTACACACACACAATCATCTATACACATGTAAATATACCGACACACACACACACACACTGTCTGTTCGTCTGTGTCTTCAGTAACTACACCCACAATAGTGATCTTAGCGTCGCATTTAAGAGGTTTAATTAGTACGTCACACACCTGCCACACCTGATTGGGTATCGCCAGGTGAGAATTGTCCCAAACTGATGATTAAACACCCTAACGCTACCTGGGGGGGGGGGAGATTAGGTTAGGTTAGCCTTAGATTTGGTTAGATTAAGGTGGTTGATCCTAAGGTAAAATAAGGTGGAGGGCTAATCTTGAGGTGGGCCAAAATAGTGTAGTTATTGTGTGTATAGAAACCCTGGTACTGTATTTATATAACTTAACCTCTTTCTCGCCCGCTGTTGGTCAGGTACACACCAAGTAGAGAGTGTTATAGTGTGGTGTTCACCCTGTGTACCGAACATGTTACAATGTGTGTATTCAAGGCACCAACCTACATCACTCACCACCACCCACCTACACCGCCTCGGTAAAGTTAGGTTAGGTTAGGTTAGGTTAACTTGAATCTGGCATCTTGGTACAGTCTCCGGGTCAACAGGAGGACGTCGTCAGTGTTGATCTATACATCAATATTGAGAAGTACAGACCAGTAAGGTAGGTCTCGGGTGATGGTACACTATCAGCTCAGCGTCGAAGTTACCAGCAGTGGGGAGGGACGGGGCGGGGCAGGGAGATGGACGGAAGTGGGTGAGGGACGGGGTGGTGTAGGGAGTGAGGGGGAGCGGTACCTGGTGATAGGGGAGGAGCTCTTTTCCTTGTAGTCTGGTTTTCGGCCAAGATTCCTGGTTGAGAGTTTAAAACATTCTGACGTGCCCCACCAACCCACCCCAGCCCACTCAACCCACCTCATACAGCCCACCCTCCTACAAACCCACTGACCCGTCAATTGTTTTGTTGATAATAATACAGTAACAAATAAATAAATAACAACGATAAATACTGATGTAGTGAATCATTTTGTGAGAAACGTTATAGTTGAGGCCATGACCGTCAAAGCCGTGTAAGTAATAATAACACTCCTAGACGTACACAAGACGTACAGTTACACACATGAGGGGTCGACCAGCTCCTCACACCAGGTTGCTGACACTTGACGTCCCTCCGTTACAATATATTACTATCATGTTATGTTTATTCTCTTAATCCGACTTAATCCCTTGAGTACGATGATTTAATCCCTTGAGTACGATGACGTAATCCCTTAATTCATCAGGTCATCGTATTCAAGGGGATTTGGGATTTAATTATCGTACTCAAGAGGTTAACTCATAGTACTCAAGGGATTTACACATTGTACTCAAAGGGGTTATATCACCGTACTCTCTGATGTTCACTTGTTTCTTTGTATTTCTGTGTTTGTGTTTGTTTACGTCCGTGTTTTGTTTTGCGTCCGTGTTTTGTTTTTTATTGTTTTATGTTCGTGTTTTGTTTTAGTGTACGTGTTCTAATGACTTAACGGAGATATGACGGTGACATGACAGTGACGTCACGATTATTGGACAGGTTAGGAGTATGTACGTTGTTCTTAGGCTGTTTTGACAAGAGGTTAACCCCCCTCCCCATTATTTACAAGTACTTACGGTCTTCATGTTGTCTTCTTAGCTCATGTGTCGCGTACGTAACGGTCCGTTCCCGTCCGTTCGTGGCGCGTTCGTCGGATCTCTGCTGTACGTGGCAGAGGAAGTTTTTTTTTTAGATATCCGTCTGTGTCCGTTGTCGGGGTTTTTAGGGTCCGTGGTGAGGTGAGAGGTAGGTCCGTGGATGGTCCGTGACACACCTGGGAGACTGTGTTGTTGTCCGTGCCGCTCCTCCCTCTAAACTAACCGGTCGGCTTCAGTGTCGGCTGCTTTATATAGTCTGTCATCACCCTCCCTCCCTCCCATCATCCCTTCCTCCCTCCCTCCACTGCTGAGGATCACTGCGTCAAAGGTCCATTTTTTTTTTACCACAAACTCTAAATAAGACAAATCAGTTAAGGTAGAGTCTCAGTGTAGTTTTGCCTTCATAATATAACCAGGAGTGTTGTTGTATGTTTATCTAATGAATGACTCTGCCGGTCCCGTATCGGCCTCTTTAGTCACCTCAGAACTCACCAACGAAGGTAACGTCCTTAATAACTCATGCCATTGGATGATCGTCATACTCGATTACGTGTGACAGCAAAGTAGTAGTAGTTAAGGGGGATCACCTGAAGGATCATCACCCCAGTCTAAATAATGCAACAAAATACTTTACTCAATATTCCAAAATACACGATGCATATTACAATGGGTAGGTTAGGTTAGCTTAGGCCTGAAGATTAACCACCATGGAAGGTACTGACCCCACCTGAAGAATGGTCACCCTGCCAAGCTCTGGGGTGACGATTCTTCAGGTGATCCGCTAAGGGGGGGGGTGGAGTTTTACTTAAAGATGTGTGAGAATGTGTCGTTGTGTTGTAGTTTAAGTGGGCCAATCATTTTACGATTTCTTATTTTAATTTAAGAATACACACATGCACAAATCGGTACACACACACACACACACACACACACACACAGCAGCTGGCGTCACATGCATATGAAAACTACGTCCGGCGAACGTCTGCCCGCTGGTGTTTGCTTCCACCTCGATATAAAAAATACTACAGTATAAACCTAACGACCACCTCGATATAACAACACTAAATACAACGAGGACGGGTGAGTGGAGGAGGAGGAGGGGGGGGAGGAGGAGGAGGGGGGTGGGAGAAGAGGAGGGGAGGGGAGGAGGAAGGGAGGAAGAGGGAAGAGGGAGAAGAGGGAGGAGGAGGGGGCTGGGGGGGAGGAGAGGAAGAGGGGCGGGGTGAGTGGAGGAAGAGGAGGGGCTGGGGAAGAAGAGGAAGAGGGGGGTGAGTGAGAAGAGGAGGGGAGGAGGAAGAGGAGGAGAGGGGCTGGGTGAGAAGAGGAAGAGGGGGGGGGAGGGAGGAAGAGGAGGAGGTGAGGAGGAAGAGGAAGAGGGGCTGGGTGAGAAGAGGAAGGGGAGGAGGAGAGGAGGAGGTGGGGGTGAGGAGGAGAGAAGAGAAGAGGGGGGGTGAGTGAGGAAGGAGGAGGCAGGGTGAGGGAGGAAGAGGAAGAGGGGCGGGGTGGGGAGAAGAGGAAGAGGAGGAGGGGAGGAGGAAGAGGAGGAGGTTGGCTGGGTGAGTGGAAGGAGGAGGGGCGGGGTGAGTGGAGGAAGAGGAAGGAGGGTGGGCTGGGAGGAAGGAGGGGAGGTAGGGGAGGGAGGAGGAGGAGAAGAGGAAGAGGAGGGGTGAGGAGGAAGAGGAGAGGGGCTGGGGAGGAGGGAAGAGGAGGGGCGAGGGAGGGAAGAGGAGGAGGGGAAAAGGTGAGTGGAGGAGGGGACTGGGTGAGTGGAGGAAGAGGGAGGGCGAGGGAGGAAGAGGAGGGGCTGGGGTGAGGAGGAAGAGGAGCTGGGTGAGTGGGAGGAAGAGGAGGGGCGAGTGGAGGAAGAGGAGGAGGGGCAGAGTGAGGAGGAAGAGGAGGGGCGAGGGAGGAAGAGGAGGAGGGGTGGGGAGGGAGGAGGGACTGGGTGAGGGAGGAAGAGGGAGCAAGGAGGGAGGAAGAGGAGGGGTGAGTGGAGGAAGAGGAGGGGGAGGAGGAAGAGGAGGAGGGAAGGATGAGTGAGGAAGAGGGGGGCTGGGTGAGAAGAGGAAGAGGAGGGCGAGTGGAGGAAGAGGGCTGGGAGAAGAGGAAGATGAGGGGCGAGGGGAGGAAGAGGAGGAGGGGTGGGTGAGTGGAGGAAGAGGAGGGGCTGGGAGAGGAGGAAGAGGGGGGAGGGGAGGGGAGGAGGAGGAGGGAGGGGGGAGGGGGGAGGGAGGGGGGGGAGTGGAGGGGGAGAAGAGGAAGAGGAGGGGAATGGAGGAAGAGGAGGAGGGGCTGGGGAGGGAGGAAGAGGAGGGGCTGGGGAGGAGGAAGAGGGGCTGGGTGAGGAGGAAGAGAAGGAGGAGGGGCTGGGTGAGTGGAGGAAGAGGAGGTGGTGAGAAGAGGAAGAGAAGAGGGGGGCTGGGGAGAAGAGGAAGAGGAGGGGGAATGGAGGAAGAGGAGGAGGAGGGAAGGTGAGGGAGGAAGAGGAGCAAGGAGTGGAGGAAGAGGAGGAGGAGGAGGGGCTGGGGAGGAGGAAGAGGAGGCTGGGTGAGAAGAGGAAGAGGGCGGGAGGAAGAGGAAGGGGGGTGGGTGAGGAGGAAGAGGAGGCTGGGTGAGAAGAGGAAGAGGGAGCGAGTGGAGGAAGAGGAAGAGGGGCTAAGAGTGGGAGGAAGAGGGCCAAGGAGGAGGAAGAGGGGAGGAGGAGGGGGC